CAGTGGGGTATTGGGAGGGGGGGGTCCACATACCCTTGGGTTTCCTTTCTCTGCGAACTGGACCACTATTTCTAGGATGAAAATCTGCGCCTCCACTCCTCGAACACCAGTGCCACACTTTCTCTTAATCGTTAACGTCATGAGAACCTTCATGGCGTTGAGTTTGGCCCAAATGGGTTTCGTCACCCTTGTTGAAAATTCAATTTTTCAGGTGATTTTGATACATATCGACGCTAGCTATCTATTCTGATGTAATCCTTCACCTTTGAAAGTCGTTGGGTCTCCTTCGTTTCTTCGATAGAGAATAATATCGATTTTCAGATGATTCTATTAATATACTTGTCTACGTTATTATCGCTATGTAATTCATACAAAATCCTCGTCATTAGTCCGAAACTCGCCTATAGCCACATGAATTTCATGGGTAAAATAGCCGACACACTCGTTGACGCTGGACATGAAGTGGTAAGTACATCTTCACCTGGATAAATGAAAAATCCTTATCTTCCAAGAGGGGGAAGGGTTGAAGTCGCGATGTGTCCCTTTTGTCACACACTCAGTGTTACAGGCTTAGGCATAAGCCAAGCGAGCATAAGCCTGAATCTAAGCTTAATCTTAAGTCAATGATCGTGCAGCTTTTGTGACCTGACCCCAAGAGGAGAACTGAACGTCTCCCAGGCCATAGAATCTGAGGCTGTTTCGCCGGCCGCTCCATATGGGATGACCACATCCAGTCAACTGTAAAAGCACTAAACTGAGAACGAGTTGCGTCAATGGACGATAGGGCACTGGTAGATGGCTCCACTACCGTACGCATCGTCCACCGGACAGACCTCGTCGAGGCTATGCACAGACAGACACACTTAAATTTGGGCGTACTATCGCCGCAATTCTTTAAGTATTACAGCCCTGTAGAAGAATAGGAACACTGACCAGGGCATGTATAGTTTAGTTCGTACAAATCATGGTGTAGCCGAATAGCTCTACCAAGCCCCCGCAAACTCAATTTGATGGCAACATGCGCGGCGGATACCCAAAAAGCTAGTCTACTGGATGGATTTTTCGAGGGAGGCACTGTATATTGCACAGGTATAAAAAAGGTTTTCTGATAATATAATAATCTAGCCAAAACCAGAGTAAACATACAGTTAAACTGATTACTTGGAATCCACTCAACGGCAAGGCTCGGTGGTATCGATGAGAATGGTATCACGTTTTCGAATAATGTTGCAAATTTTAGGTCACATTCCAGCCTATAATTGAAACGTCACTTGTTGGAAATGGGACAACCAAATCTCGCTTGATCCAGAGCGGTCCATTCGATGAAATTACGAAGGAGCTATCTGAACGGAACGAGGAAGATAGCATGGCTCCCATCTGGCGTTAGGTGGTCTAACCGTTATTGTAGTGTTAAGGTTGGGTTCAAACCAGGGTTTTTAACATTCAGTTATGATTGCCATACAGTGGCGGGAACGTTCTCATGCACTGTGATTTTGGTTACACGTAATTCACGTCAGCCGTAACTAGTGCTGAAATCCCCTTTACATTCCACCATTTCTTGAAGTACTGCGAACCGCTTGGCTTGCAAGCTCATACGTCTCTTCTTGTAGATCGCAGATAGGCTAGTGAACTCAACCTCAGGTCGCTGATTTATCACTGGTTTTGTTACTGATATTTTTGACAGTTTGTTGGAAATTTTTAACTTCATGCTATTTTTTTTATGGCGTGTTAAGCACAAATAAATAAATAAATTCACGTTGGCACTGGGGCGCGCAGCAGAAGTATAGCACTTGTTCCTTCTTCCTTTCCTATGAACAGCACTCAGTCAAGTGGAGTACACCGCACACTCCGTAGCTACCCTTGGGCAGTCCTCCACAATTCAAACGGCGTCCACCTCGCTCGCACGGCGAGACACACTTCAGTGGCGGGATAAGCAGGTCAGTGGAGTACCAGAACGCGTGATCCAGCACGAACGTAGGTACGGTGGAAATGACTCGATGTGCTGAGAATCGCTATACTTGCCGTCACGTTTTGGTTGTTGCTGCTATCTGAGGCTATAATTGCATATTATATCGGTTCATTCCAGCTTGCATCATTGCTATCCGATACATCTGAGAAAGTTCAGTGAGGGTTTGTAGCGTTCCTAAAGTTTCTAGAGCGCGAATGATGGATTTTTTCGAGAAATCTGGATGATAGGAGGTTCGCAACAACTGAGGACGAAAGTCGACGTGCTATAATCGACGATTTTCGACTTCATGTGGAATTGGGGTTAAGTTACTTTTTTGCTTTTACAAATTGCTACTACCATCTGTTCTATTTAGAAAGGGAACTTGAATCTTGAACTATATCGACAGTCAGAAGTTTCCTTCCAGACCCATCAGAAAGCGCAGATATACCCAGAGTGATTGAGCCAGAAACATTATGACGTTTTCAGGTGTTCTGGAGGCGATCGGTCTCAAGAACATTATCGGAGCTCATTCGGCTATAATGATGGAAGGCACATCGTTGGCTTTAGGTGTACCTCTGCTTCCGAGCTTTCATTCCAGGTAGGAGTGGCAATTTAGTGAGCACGTGAAGTTTCTACACACATGCTTAACCGTGTTCCGCTAACACTGCCATGCTTTTCTCAAGCTTTCTCGTAGGCTTAAGTGATCTAACTAGTAGATGTAATCCGCCTCAGGAAGTACTCAAAGTATTATAACTCGATACTGGCACCTTTCAGAGGGTACATCCTGCTCCTCCCATCGCACATTTTACTTGGACTGCGTGGAGTATGCATTCAGAATTACATAGAAAAATGCAAACAATAAGTATGGGGATCATCTCTTCATTCCACCATGGGACAGTAGCGCTTCCTGTGACGTAGTAACATTCAGGGCAGAGGTCGGGCTCTTATTTGGGTATTATGGTACATGAAACTGAGTAGAGATGCGATATTGAATGAAAGTAAAAAAAAACGAAAAGAAATCACCAATGAGGCCGAAAATAGAACCCTTCCTCCAGCATCAGCGTAGAGGACGAGCATAGCATGAAGGCTTGTACGAACGAGTTGCAGGATTGCCGGCTACTGCTGGCTTCGTGTAAGCAGTGATACGGCAAACAACCCATCTGATTTCATACCTGTGCCAGCCCTGCACCACCTTCCGCGGTAGGCTGTCATAGCTAACGACGGGCGGTGATAGTTAACAACACCTAGCTCGAGCCTTATTATCGCGCTGTTCCGGAATACGAACGTGGTGTCATTTTTGTAGGTGCGCACCCA